AAAAAAAAAAAAAAAAAAAAAAAAAAAAAACATGCCAGGGACTTTTACCAGGTGACCGTGACTTTCCTTGGCTGGGACTGGGGCGAGGTGGGGGGGTGGCTAATGGGGTAGCAGACTCTGCCACCTTCCCGGTAGTGTTCCTTGTGTTTGGACAAAGGGGCATCTTGTCTTCACTGAGGGAGCCCCGTCCATCTCTGAGCTGCAGCAGGAAGGAGGCAGGGGTTGACCTTAAATAAGGCCCTTCCAAAGCTCATTCCAGTGTGCCTCTAACAATTGGCTTCAAGTACAAGCCATCTCAGCAAACTCCTGAAATCTAAGCAGGGCTGCTGGGAACTGTTTTCCTCAGAGTGGTGACAAACACTGGGGGCTGTGGCCTCCAGGCTGGGCCTGTGGAGCCGGGGTAATTAAAGCCAGAAAGTCGGATGCAGCAGCAGACCTGGGGGTTGTCACTGAGGTCCAAACGAGAGGCCTGGCTTTGGGACACTGAAGAAGGAGTGCTGTAGAGTGATTGGACTTTCAGAAAATAGCCTAGCAACGTCCTTGCGCATTAGTTTGTTTGAAATTATCCAAGCCCCCAGACTCCTTTGTAGTTAGAGCAGCAGAAGACCTTACAGACATCCACTTCAGTACCTGACATTCCTATGCACACTGCCACACTCACACCTGCAGATGCACACTCAGACACACTCACCGATACTGTATCATAGACAACAGCCCCTTCACACACTCAGACCCACTCACAGATACTGTATCATATAACACATTCACACACACACACACACACACACACACACACAGGGATAATCACAGATACCATATCATACAACACACTCACACTCACATAGGCACACTCACATATTCTGTGTCAACAACACATACACACTCAGACCCACACACTAATACCATATCATACAACACACACACAGACTCAAGCCCACTCACATACACTGAGTCATACAACACACACACACACACACTCACACACACACTCACACACTCAGACCCACTCACACAAATACTGTAATATGCAAACACACGCTCAGATAACATAAAGTGAAGACACACTCATGCACATTCACACAGATAACATTACATACAAACACTCCACACTTTGTCAGGCACATTTACACATGTTTTGACATGCAAATACACTCACGCACAGGCACACTCACAGATACTACAAACATGAAACACTAACACATGCTCAGACATATTCACACAGATATTCTATATACAAACACATTCACACATTTAAGCACGTATTCTCTCTCTCTCTCACATACACACACAAAGATGGAGTAATTGGAGGTGAAAGTATCGGTAACTCAGTAAGAAAAAATTTTGTTGAAGATTTTTGGAAAGAAAACAACTCGTTTTGGTCTAAATAGTGTTGGATGTCACCATCTGGTGTTGGGGTGCAGATCAGTGGCCAGGCCTGTGCTCTGCATGCACCTCACTTTAAGAATGTAATCATTTGAGCTGGGCAGGGTAGCACACATTTTTAATCCCAGCACTCAGGAGGCAGAGACAGGCAAATCTCTGAGAGTTTAAGGCCAGCCTGATCTACAGAAGTGAGATCCAGGACAGGCACCAAAACTACACAGAGAAACCTTATCATTTAAGTAGAATAGGAGAGTGTCTTTTTCTTTTCATTTTTTTTCTTTCTTCCTTCTGTATCAATGAAAAACTAAAATTGGCAGGCAACAGAAATAATCACCAAGATTCTGCAAATAGACATAGGGGCCTGTGTAAGGACAGGGATGATGGAAGGCAGTGCTGAGCCATAGATGTTGGGAAATTACTGTGGAAAATGAGGTATTTGAATACAGGCTAAAAAGAGATAGCAGAGTGGGCTAGGGGACAATGTCCTGATTACTCCGTGTCCTTGGGCTTGTATTCATTTGATTTTTGTGATGCTGAGGACCAAATCCATGCTGGCCTGGCCCTATTCAGAAGGCTTATGGTAAGTACACTCACTATCAAATGGCCCCACCCCCAGGTTAATGGAATGGACATCAGCAACGTGCCTCATAACTATGCCCTGAGGCTCCTACGGCAGCCCTGCCAAGTGCTGCGGCTCACAGTGCTTCGTGAGCAGAAGTTCCGTAGCAGAGGCAATGGACAGGCGCTGGACTCCTATGGACCTCGGGATGACAGTTTCCATGTAATCCTCCACAAAAGCAGCCCCGAGGAGCAGCTCGGCATAAAGCTGGTGCGCAGGGTGGATGAACCTGGGGTATTCATCTTCAACGTGCTGAATGGTGGTGTCGCCGACCGACACGGCCAGCTAGAGGAGAATGATCGTGTGCTGGCCATCAATGGACATGACCTTCGATTTGGCAACCCAGAAAGTGCAGCTCATCTGATTCAGGTGAGTCAGAAGTCACCCTAAGATCCCGGTCAGAAACATCCACACGGGCAGGAACACTTATCATGTGCACCATGTGAGCCTTCCTCTAGGAAGTCAAGAGAGGGTTGGTAGTTTCAATGCTACTGTCCAAGTAAGAACCCAATTGATGGCTGGTGGCGGTGGCGCACACCTTTAATCCCAGCATTCGGGAGGCAGAGCCAGGTGGATCTCTCTGGGAGTTCGAGGCCAGCCTGGTCTACGAAAGCGAGATCCAGGGCAGGCACCGAAACTACACAGAGAAACCCTGTCTCGAAAAAACAAAACCAAAAACCAATTGACACAAATGGTGTACCTCGGGTCATGACCTCTACTGATAGTCTTACAGTGTATTCTCTCTCTCTCTCTCTCTCTCTCTCTCTCTCTCTCTCTCTCTCTCTCTCTCTCCCCCTCTCCCTCTCTCCCTACCCATTCCCCCTATCTTTGTCCTCCAGTTCTGCTTTGCTTCAGTTTTATGGTTACCTGCCAATCTAGAAAAGTGTAGTAGCACACATTATATTCTAGAAGTACCTAAAACAATGCCTAGCAAGGTTAAGTACTCGGTGAATATGTGCTTATTATATGCAATTATTTAACTAGTAAATTAGTCAAATTAGGAACAGGTAAATACATATAAAATACATTTTGCTCACTAATTCCATCTCTGAGGGCTTTTTTTTTTTTTTGACCGTTTACCACAGAACCAGATCTACATTTGTTTTTACATGCTCTTTGACCCTGTGACGTAATCTCTACTTTTCATCCCTTTGGCTTTGCTCAGTTCTCATTGGTTGAGCAACCTCCATACACCAAGCAGTGCCCAGTACAGTGGTGAATGAGGCAGTCATGGGTGCTTGCCTCTCAGAGCTGGAAAACACCCTGGTTTTGTACAACCACGAAGACAGAGCTGGACTAGAAAAAAGGATAAGATGAAACAGTCGTACATGAAAGAGAAGCCCCCTTTATTCTTCCCTTCAGGAAGATGCTATCTTAGCTTTTTTTTTCCCCCCCATCCTTAAAACCTTGGCCCTAAGGGGGATTGTCAATATTTTTTCACATTACACTTACTAGCGCCCTCTGCAGGCCACCCAGTGCAACTCCCATCCTGTAGCTCTTGGCCAACTGTACTTTCGCAATGGGCAAAAGAAAAACGGCTATGTTATTTGGAAAAATCTTGATTACACATGGCGTTTTACTCTTGAAGATTAATAACAGACGAACATGTTTTTCCCCGACAAAGTAAATGTATGAAGTAAAAATCTTGCCTAATAGTGGGAATTCCTTAAAAAAATCCCTTTGCTTGCTAAACAAAGCCAATCTGCTTTATAAGCAGAAAGAAAACTTATTTTTCAGAAAGGCAAGGGCAAAGCTAGTTGGAAAAGAAATGTAAAAAATTAGATGTTGTTTAAAAAAAAAAGCCAAGCAATAGCTTGCTGTCTCTGAAAAGTCGATTTTATTTATGTGATACTCGTAACACACACCAGGCTGCAGGGATTAAACTAAGTACCCTTCAAAGATGGAGACTCAAATTTCCACCCAGCCCTGGCCATTGGCTAGGTTGCCCATGTGTGTCTCCCCCATGAATCACATTTGCCTCACAAAGAAATTCCCAGACAACATCTCCTCTTGGCCATGATCTCCCCCATCAAGCTACACTTGTTTTTTTCTTCCTACGTTACTTCAGGGAAGAGTTATTACAGAGGCCACAACTGTTTTAAATTGGACCAACTTTACATACGTTGAGCCCTTCACCTCCACTTATTCAGCAGCAGCCTGGGCAGACGAGTCCCCAGGGTGAAGACACATGGAGAGTCAAGGCCTGTTAAGAGGAAAAGCCTTAAAGAGATAGACACCTCCTACACGGAGCCATTGACTTCTTAGCAGCTTAGCCAGGACCACGTGGGTTTCCACCATTGTTAATTTCTCAAGCTTCTTGAGCATCCTTACTAGAATAACTATATGGAAAAACAATCTCTTTGGAACTATCTGACGTCATACTTGAGATAACAGAACAAAGAGATAGCTGATCAAAGAGGGGGAAAAAAAAAGATGTCTCAACATCTGTATCCCAGAGCGCCAGCATATTCCACCCAGTTATCACCACAAGAACCTGGGGATTCTAAGAGAAATGCTTATTTTGAGGACTTCCCATCTACATGCAATTCTAGATTAGTGAGTTAGGTTTGTTTAGGAGTTCAAATATATACAGCCAACTAAGAAAGAATTGTGAATTTCAAATTGAGTAACCCTCTATGCTCTTAACTAGCTAGCTAGCTTTCTCTTCCTCTCTTCCTCTCTCCTGTTCTTACTTTCTCTTCTTTTCTTTCTTTCTTTCTTTCTTTCTTTCTTTCTTTCTTTCTTTCTTTCTTTCGTTCTTTCTTTCTTTCTTTCTTCCTTTCTCTCTCTCTCTCTCTCTCTCTTTCTTTCTTTCTTTCTTTCTTTCTTTCTTCCTTTCTCTCTCTCTTTCTTTCTTTCTAACCCTAGAAACTGAAAATAAATTCAAAGCGGCTTCTAGAGGTTGGGGGAAGTAGGAACATTCAGTAATCCTGCCGTATGTGTGATTTTTGTTCCTCGGATGAAATGATATTTAAACACACAGTTACTTCATCAAAGAACTGAAAGTCAGCCTGTTCCAGGTTTTAAAGAGAATGTGATAGGGCTTCAGACAGAGCCAAGAAGTAAACAGTGCCCTGCTCATGTTACCTACGTTTACTCTAAAGACAGGATTCCAGCTCATGAGTGGTGCTTCATACCTGGAAAGAAAAAAGCAGAACTTGGGTGGGAATTTCAACATTCAAGTCCCTGGGAGCCAATAAGAACTGTCAGTGAAATAAGACCTGCTAAATCTGTGTGTGTACAGATCAGCACAGCTCATATGGAATCTAACCCCTGCTTCCATAAATTGTCTTACCAGGGTCCTGTAGTCAATTTAGTGCACATAGACTAAACTTAAATCTCCTTATGCTCAATTCTCAAAGCCTGAAAGATTCCTAAATAAGACTCCAAATTCCCTATTTTCTCACTATAGAAAGTGAGACTTGGAAACCAGTACAGCCACTCAAGTTAAACTTTATGCGAAGGAATCTTCTGTGCAGCTGTACACACAAGGGTGAAAGGGCCCGGAAACCCCACTTTCTCCAGCGCAATATCCCCTCCACGCTTATTCCTTTACTGTGGAAAAGAAATAATCCCGGGAGGAGCAACCTCCAGGTCCCTGAAGAGAAGGGGTGCTGAGGCCGAGGAGTGGCTTTGTCTGTTGACTCAGCAATCAGCAGACTCAGGGACTTTGTCGATGGCATCTGTATGACCCTGCCGAAGCCACCAGCTCTATTGCCATCACCACTCACTTTCTTATTCCTAAAAGATTCTGTCTTGAGGGGAAGGAAGAGATGGTCAAGAAAAGTCCTATGCGTAGGTAGAAGATGAAGCAGGAGGCAGCTGTCCGAACAGATGATTCTGTAGGTCCCCACCCAGCTCTCACCTGCCTGTGGCAAGGCACGGCCCTTCTAAATATGCATCTCCTCTGGACCCAGACTGTGCCCAGGGCCTACCTGCTTCACAGAGCACAATTATGATAGCCAGCAGTCAATTCGGTCCCCACCCCACTTCATGTGTTTGTGCCAAATAACCCTGTGCAGCATGCTAGAGGGGATGGAAACTCCTTGAAGTCTATAAAGCCAGTGCAAGAAACCCAGCAGGTAAACCCATGTGAGCTATTACTCACTTGGTGCCCACCATTGACGCCAGCACTCATGCCGAGGCCATGGACCTCTATGCACTTGAGACCAGCCTGGTCTACATAGTGAGTTTCAGGCCAGTCATGGCTGCATAGTGGGACCCTGTCTCAAAAAACAAATAATTTAAGCATAGAATATATATCATATTATATGTATGTGATATTGTATCTTATATATATATACATTATATATGATATATGTTGGGATATATACATACGTATGTATATATATTTACACACACACACACCCCGAAAGCAGTGCAAATGCCTTATTCAGTTTCAATTCTCCTTACAAATAGGGGATGAGAAGCTTACACTGTCATGTACAGGTCTTCTGTCAACTTTTGCTCTACCTATAGTTAGCACTGGCCCTCTTAGTCACCATTTCCCATTTCTGACGAGCCCATCTTCTGCATATACATGGGTATGAGACCAGGAGTCATTCCGGCCTTCATCCTTTCTGTTCCTCTGCCTTGTCTCCCCTTTCATGTATTCACCGTCACACCAGTGGGAATAAAGACTCCAGGGCCCGGGACTGTTTCTCAAGCCTGACTCCAGTTGCTCCTGAGAGTGAGTGCCAAGACCAACACATTAGCCTACCTCATATCTCCAATGCTGTGAAAGAAAGGGCACCAAAGAGCCTCCCTGTGAACGATTCATGAGGTGGCTGGTAAGAGCCACAGGGCCAGCCTTGCAGAGAATTTATTTGCTAGTAAATTGATACCAGTGTTATTTATTAGAGTGTTGGTCCTGCCAAGGCTTCATTCTCGAGCCAGCATTTGAAAGCCCAGGGAGAAATGTGCGCTCACAAATGTGAATGAAATAGCTTGCACAGGTTGCGCCTTGGCAATTCGGATTTTGCCTGTCACGTTGAGCCGGGTATAACTCGGCAACATTCCCGTTTCTTATAACGTGTTGCTCAGAGCATGCACTGCTCGCTGTCCAAGATGAACAGGACACAGTTCCAGCCCAGAGCCAAAGCCCTGCCAGCAGCCTTCTCAGCAGTGGAGTTTCCCCAAAGATAAGAGAGCAAACTCAGTTTCTGTGATTGAGGTTTTGACCCGAGAGCTCATTGTTACTTATCTTCCCATGAGTTCTGTCTCAGAACGTTCTTGAAGATAACCTTTTAGCGAGGCTTGCAATCCAGAGGAAGAGATACAATTATTGCAACACTCTCTTCCAAAATGGAACACAGTTGGTGATGCCATAGTTCTGAGTTCTGTTGCATTTCTTCATGGTGTGTTACCTGGGTGCTCTGTGTGTGTGTGTGTGTGTGTGTGTGTGTGTGTATACGCACCCATGCCATTCTGATGTAAGCTTCAGATGCGGTAAGGGACCCCAGGGAATCCAAGACAGGCTAGCAAAAGAAGGGCACATAAGCCCTGATGGGGTTAGGGCTGTGCATAAAGGAAAACAGGCTAAATTCAAGCTTCCTCTGGGGAGCCATTTGGTAGCATTTTCTACCATGGATATGGAATGAACAGCTCACCTAGCTGACCATCCATGGTGATATTTATAATATTCTTCCTATACCCCAACAATTGTATTAAAAGTTAGTCTAATTTATGACCACCCACCTGATGACCCCCGAGTTTCAAGAGAGCCTTTGTATAGGGATATCGGTGTGAGGAAGGTTTGGGCTGGTTAGTGCTTTAGACAACTGTGAGGCCCCAACTGCATTGGCGGAGCTCTTGGTACTTAAGGTCCTCGTTCCTGACAGGGAGAGGGAGTGATGTGCTCTGGAAAGGAAGGTGAGAGAAGTGGTGTCTTAGTCTCTGTGACGGCTATGGAAACAAAGTCCCATGAATGGAGTGCCTTATTAATAGGAACAACAGAAATGCATGTCTTACAATTCCAACCATCAAGATATGGGCAGATTCAGTGTCTGGAAATGCCCCCTCCCACTTAAATCTCTGTGTGTGATGTGATGTATGCACATATGTGTGAGTGTGGGTATGGACATACCACAGGAAGCACGTGTCAGCCAGAGGACAACCTGGAATGCTAGCCCCTAGCTTCCACCCTACTTGAACGTTTCTTAGTGTTTGCTGCTCCATATGCCAGCCAGCTTCTCCTGTCTCTGCCTTCCACCTCATCCTAGGAACCCCGGAATTACAGACCCTTGCCACCACTCCCATCTTTACATGGGTCCTGGGGATCCGAACTCAGGTCCTTGTGCTCATGCAGCTGGTTCTTTATCCACTGAACCATCTCCGTTCCCAAATGACTTTCTTTTATGAGGTATCTTCTCCTTGTAGCCTCACGTGCTGGAAGGAACAAACTAATCCCACTCATGGGAACTGAGTCCAAGGCCCACCTGGTAACACCAGCACCTCGGGGGTTAGATTTCCACAGATGAGGGGTGCACACATTTAAACCACAGCCAGTGAAAAGCAAACATCTTGATTCGCACTGTCTGAGCTAATGGAGACAAGCAGGAACTGCCTGGCCCTTCTTTTGTGACCTGACTTCTCCACGGCCCCACACCCATGCAGGAGAGAGGCCCATTAGTGTCTGTTTCTGCTGCAGTGAGTAGTCCAGACCTGGAATGACAAGGCGAACTATCCGACCTTACAGTGTTTCCATCTTCCTGGTTCCCAAATCTAGTTTTGCCCAGGTGCCTTTCTAACCAAATTGAGCCATGCCTCTTCCATTTTTCATTGAAGTAATGGGAGGATCCATTTGCCATTTCAGTTTCAGAAATCAACCTTGTTCCTGAGTTTCTCAGGCCTAGGGTCTCCTCTGTCTGCCCTGCAGATCTGAAACCTCGGTCACTGGCATGTCTGGCTTCTGACACCCACACTCAGGGACACAGGAAGCTAACCTGTGGCAGAAAGCTAATTTGTAATTTCCTGCGTGGAACAAACCTTTCCAATAAGCAATACATTTGCTATTCTAAATCTTCTGCTTAAGTACCAGTGTGCATAAGGATCAGAATTAGTGATGGTCATATAAAAATGGTCAAGGTAATGGCTTCAGTCTGGCTGTCATTCCTGTATTCCAAAGGTTCAATGCCTGAGTCTCTAAGACTGACACAGTATTTTCATTTCTGCAGGTTCAGGGTTGCTGCCTCTGATCCTGTTTCTCTTTGCTTCTGACCATTGAATTAGAACTGATGTAGACACCTTCACACCATGCACCTTACTCTGTTCAGAAAGGCTTTCAGCCGTCCGTGCTTGTCTGCAGCCGAGCTCCTCACTGAAAGTGCATTAGCAAGACCTAGTGGTGTCTCTTCAAAGACTTGCATGAGTCAGACCTTCCTTAGGCTTTTTCTTGAAGCAATGTTTAGTCCCTGGCTTCAAGTTCAGGGAAATAGTTTACGCTTTTGCCAAAGTAGAAGCCGGGCAGTGACGTGAGCAATCTAGGGTGGGGGCTAACGATATGGCTCAGTGATTAAGGGTGCACACTGTTCTTGCAGAGGACCTGAGTTCAGTTCCCAGCACCCACACCCTGTGGCCTGTAACCACCTGCACACCAGCTCCAGGGAAATCCAGTACCCTTTTCTGGTCTCAGATGACACCTGCACTCACATGTACATACCCACATACATATATGCACACCTACACATAATCAAAAATAAATCTGTTTTATGAAATATATTCTTCTAGTTTTTGACTACATTTTTAAAAATGAAGAACTCTAGAAGGGGTTGGTGGTGGACCTCAATGGTGGAGTACTTATCTAGAGTGCTCAGAGGCCCTGGGCTCAGTCTCCAACACCACATAAGAAAGGCTTGACACTTTATTCTTCCATTAAATAAAAGTAAAAATGAAAGTGGTATCTCCTGGTAAGGCCCTAGAGCCAGGTCTGTGCAAGCAGCTAATTTAATGTCCTCTTGTCTAGGCCAGTGAAGGACGTGTTCATCTCGTCGTGTCCCGCCAGGTTCGACAGCCCAGCCCAGACATCTTCCAAGAAGCTGGCCGGATCAGCAACGGCCGGTGGTCGCCAGGCCCAGGGGAGAGGACCATGGCTTCTAAGGTGAGGCCCAGCTAGGCGTGTCTGCAGCTCCTGCAGAGGGCTGTTTCCTGGGAAAGCTATATACTTTGATGTCTCTAAGGGTTATCTCTGGACTTTGTCATTTCAAGAAGTGCTACTCATGAAATTAAAAGGCCAAAGTCCCATCATCATACCTGGGCGGCGACAGGTGCCTCCCATCCAAGCAGGAGTGAGGACAGTGCTGTTGGGGGTGGGGGCTCTGTTAAATCCCAGCTTGCAGCCCTTCTAAAGGGACCTGATTCCAGCCTAAGCCAAATGCATGTCATATTTTTTAACCAAGGCTCCTTCTGTATAAGGATTGTTTTCCATTCACTTTGAAACGCAACGAGAAGTTTGCTTGGTCTCTAGTTTTTGAGTTTCCCAACCTGCCTGGAAATGATGATGATTCCCCTGCTGTTTTTAATATTTTTGTGTTTGTGCAAGGGACCAGGAAGATACTTATAACACTTGAAGCCCATGGGATGTTAGGGAGGGCAGTGTTTGGACAAGCCAGGAGCATATGTCTTGTCTTACGGCGTTCAAATCCAGAAATTAAAAACAAAATTATTTTTCATTTATTTTGCGGGTCTAGGTGTATATGTATGTAGACATGTGCTATGTATGGTACATGTATAGAGACCAGAGGACAACTTGTATCAATTGGTTCTCTCCGCCCGCCATACTGTACCCAGGGCTTAAACTAACATCATCAGATTTAGTGGCCAGCTTCTTTACCTACCGAGTCATCTCAGTGGCCCCAGGACAAATTTCAACCACTGTGGACCCAGCAGAAGGGATCTGTGAGGAGAATACATCTTTCCACCTTCCTCTCTTTGCAGCCTGTCTTCAAGAGAGGTGACTCTGCCCAGTGCTTGTGTGTGGCTTCTATTAGATGCAAGGTCTACACTTCCTTTAGACGAGTGTCTAATCAACACGTTGTCCAGTCCAGATTAAGAATCCTATGACCTTGGTTTAGCATTCTGTCATGAGGATTATCAGCTTCTAGCAGCCACTTTCCCTGAGAGCTGATGTCATGTTGTCGTTACTAAAAACAAACAGGGTTGGAGATGTGGTTCAGTAGTTGAGAACACTTGTTCTTGGAGGAGAAGCCCCACCCCCACCCCCCCACCCCCGCCATGCCATTTGTTGCCTGCACCTACAAGACAGCTCACAACTATCTGTAACCCTAGTTCCAGGGGATCCAGTGCTCTCTTATCTCTAGGGGCACTCCTCACACATGGTGCAAAATACCCATACATACACACACACATACACACATACATACATACATACATACATATATATGTATATGTGTGTATATATAAATATACACACACACATATATATACATATAAATATACACACACATATAAATCAGTGTTTAAAAAACAACCAAACATCCCTATATGTAGCCTATTCCTGAACCAGGTTGAAATGAATGAATGAATGAATGCCTTTTCCTTCCACATTAGGCCACAAGTTGAGTTTTTTGAGCAATGTTCGCAGAAAAAAAAATTCTCTGCTTTGTAATCAGGGAGCCTGAGATCACCTTTATTGTAAATCTCCAGCCAGTTATGTCTCCACAAACCATTCAGTTCCATCCATGTTTATGTATGGGAAGCAATCTAGACAGAGCAAAGTACACCCTGCTAAAGAATTTTATGGATTAAACTCCCTGGTTCCTTCTTCCAAATAAATACAGTTAGTGTTTTAAAGTTATTCTGACAGTATTCATTAATATCAAGCTATATGCGAGATCTTCAAAAATCTTACATAAAGCTTGTATCTAATTAATGAATTCAGTTGAGTTAAGTATCACGTGTTATATTGTCATTCATTAAACTGCTAGCAGTGAGGCTTTGTAATTCCTTCTCCCTGCCTGCTGGGAGCCATGGGAAAGCCAGGACAGTCTCATGGGATCTTGGCTGTAGCCCTGTGTCGTGTGTCTGAATTCCTGGAAACATATTAGGAAACCAGTCCTTCTCATTCACATTTCTATCTGCCTTCTGAAAAGCCCTCACCACCCCAAAAGTCACGTACGGGGCTGTTTGGTGATTTGGTTTTTTAAGCTGATGTAGGAAAAACAACATGGCATTTGAAAATAGGAGGAGTTTCAATGCTTCCAAGAAATGCCAAAGAAAGTGGAGACAGCAAAGCTATCTAGGTGAAGAGTTAAGCACTAAGAGGCACCATCTTCAGTCCTGAAGTCACCCGTGTGAGAGAGGAAGGGGAACGTGACCAGAAAAGTGTCACCGGGACACATTAACCATAGCCTGGCAGTGATTTTATATCAAGCTATAGGGTGCATGGGTAGGCCCTGATGCTTTCTAGATGTCCAAAACGTTTGATGTTTTAAGCCCTAGGCAAACGTTTTAAAATGTAAATATTCCATAGAGCTTCTTAGTGGCCCATATTTTTTAATCAGCTTGAAGTATTTTTACCACAAGTCAGGGTTTCAAGCATTAAGAACAATCTGAGGTCTCCTAAGTAGGGAGTGAGGAGGAAAGACAGACAGAAAGGATTATGTCTGTCACGCTTTCCTTCTTCTGCATCACATTGGACAACTGAGGGTGAGGAATTTACTGAGAAGTTTGGGTTTCTCCATCGCTACCATCAGTCTCTCTCACACAAGCCTCCCTCCCTCTGGTGGAGAAGATGACAGAAGGCCATCAGAGACACAGGCCATGTGCGGTGCTGGTGTTCAGCCACTCGGTTCAGCGGAGTGTATCACTCAGTGCTGCCGAGGCTGTTTGGAAAGTACCAAAAATGGGAAAGATGGATAAAACCGGGCAGATTTCTGCATGTGTGTATGATTTGCATGCATGCGTGCACGCACGCATGTGTGTATTTACAAATACGTGGGTGCATGTGCATGTGTGAATGTGTGCACGCAGAGACCACAGCATGGCATCAGGTGTCCTCCTTGGCTGGTCTCTACGATATTTACTGAGGTTGGGTCTCTGGCCGAAGTAGAGCTTGCCTCTTTCCTTCCATTTGCTCTGTGGATCCCTGAACCCTGGATTACGCGAGCCGCCATTTTTACATGCCTGGCTTTTATAGGAGGGCTGCAGATCAGAACGGTAGCCTTCAGACTTGTGCAGCAAGTACTTTAGGCACCAAGTCGTCACCCCAGGTCAATGACTTTATTCTTTTACTTTAAGCATAGACAAGCTTGCTGGGCTAGCAAGATGGCGCAATGGGTAAAGGCCTTTGCTCTCAAGCTTGCCAGATTGCATTTGATTCCCGGGACCCATAACGTGGAACAAGAGAACCAACTTCTGTAAGCTGTCCTCTGACCTCCACCTGCACGCTAAAGCATGTGCCCCCCACAAAAGCTCCACACACACAGTAAATTAATTTTAAATATGAAAAAATGTACTGATATTCGGTGAATCATGAAGTTGACCTACCACTGTCAAAAACAGATGCCTCCCTTGAGAGATTCAGAATACAGTTCACTTCATAAGCTCCAGATTTCTACCACGGTCTCCAGGCTGTTCCCTTTCTATGTTTACTATTCTGTTTTGAAATGTAAACTTCTCTGAGCAAACTTTCAGAATCTTCGACTCTGTTACATGCTGGTTCTCATGGTGTGTTCTCTGGGACACACCAGGCTGGACCACCACCTTGTTGATGCCTTGACAACTGTGTGCCTGTGGAAATGCCTCGTGAGTGCATGTGCCATGTTCTTTGTGTCTGTGCCTTCAGCCCCTCCAGCCTGCAGCCACTTGTCACGAGAAGGTTGTTAGTGTCCGCAAAGACCCCAGCGAATCTCTCGGCATGACCGTTGGAGGGGGAGCGTCCCACGGGGAATGGGACTTGCCTATCTATGTCATCAGTGTTGAGCCCGGAGGAGTCATAAGCAGAGATGGAAGAATAAAAACAGGTACAAAATGAAGAGGATGAAGGTGCTGGGGTACCAGAACCTGGGGAGGAGCTGGCAGCTTGCCGGATTAGCTCACTGCTCTCTGAGTGGAGGAGAAGATGAGAGAGGGAGCTGGCCGTGATGGCTGGGCCTCTTTGACTAGGATGAGCATGACTGTGGCTGTATTCCAGGCTCACCCCTCTTAGTGCATGTGAGTGGGCGTGAGGCAGCTTTGCTGGGGGAGCCAGAGCCCCTAGACGGCTGGACAGGCCGTCACTACACCCAGGAGCTAAGTTACCTCTAAGGCATCATTTAGTTCCACAAATTCTAATGGGTTCTTTGCCAGTAGTGAAACTGATTTATGAATTGTGCCCTTTTGTGGGATAAATGAGTTGACACATGTCGATTCAGTGGTATCATTAAATATCATTGGAGGGACTCCCTCATTGGTGAGAAGTGGACCTCTGTTGGCCACTCCTGTTCCGGGCTTCTCTACGTGAAGGGAGATATCCAGTTTACCTCTGCAAGGATCTTTTTTTTTTTTTTTTTTTTTTTTTTTTTTTGGTTTTTCGAGACAGGGTTTCTCTGTGTAGCTTTGCGCCTTTCCTGGAGCTCACTTGGTAGCCCAGGCTGGCCTCGAACTCACAGAGATCCACCTGCCTCTGCCTCCCAAGTGCTGGGATTAAAGGCGTGCGCCACCAACGCCCGGCTCTGCAAGGATCTTAATAGCACTGTTCAAGCACACGAGGAGGCTGCCTGGGTAGAGGAATTGTGCTTTTTAAGAGCTCAGATTCAAGAAGAAGAAAAAACACCACTTTTTTCAAGTACAGTCAGTCTGCCTGATGAACTGGGCTGGGGATGGGGGTGGCATGGGACAGGATTTAGCCAGACAATCAGAGGGTGCTTCTTTTTGAGTCAGCAAGCATTCGAGGCCATCCCCTGTTATTTTCCTCCCGTCTACAATGATTCTGTATGAAGATAAGATGATGTACAAGAGGCACACCCCCCCCCAAAAAAAAAAAAACAGGAGATGAATGAAATAGAAAGCAAGGATAGGAGGGCATCTTTTAATATTGTTTGCTGCTCGGCAGGCACCCGGGTGGAGAATGATGAGGTCTGACCAGAGGAGACTCAATGAGAGAACCTGTAGCACGTGACACACAGGAGCACTTTTGCACAACATAGGCACTTAGCTATTGCCAGCTCTACACAGCCCAGGGATGCAGTGACTAGAAATGGTCCCTGCTTTCCATCTCTGTGAAGACCGGGTCCAGGCCTAGGCTTGGCCTGCTCGGGGCTCCTGTGCCAGACCCTAACTCCTGCTTCAGTCCCTGTTTGTTGGTAGCATCCCACACACCAGGCTCTTCGCAGGCACCGAAGCTCTTTGTCCATTGCTCTCACTGTGTGCTAAAGAAAACAGGAAGTTCAAGGAGTAAACCTGTAGGTTGTCTTTGGCTAAGTAGTGAACAAAGCTATCTCACGTGAGGCGACAGGGGAACATTGGTAGGTGATCTGTAGAGAACTCCCAACTAGACACTCCCATGTGCTCTATTTACCATTTGCTAAATAAGACCCAACCTCATGTCACTATGAGCTCAAGAGACACACTTCTCCTCAGCCTGTCCACACGCCCAGTCAGCCTCTGTCCTTTCACACACGGAGCAGAATCCCATTTGCACTCACTGAGGATGCTTCTGCTTCTCTGGCCTCAGGTGACATTTTATTGAATGTGAATGGGATTGAGCTCACAGAGGTCAGCCGGACAGAGGCCGTTGCCATATTGAAGAGCACATCTTCCTCAGTGGTACTCAAAGCCTTGGAAGTCAAGGAACAGGAGCCCCAGGAAGACTGCAGCCCAGCAGCCCTGGACTCCAACCACAACGTGACCCCGCCTGGTGACTGGTCCCCATCCTGGGTCATGTGGCTGGAATTACCACAGTGAGTCCCAATTTAACACCCCTATGGATTATACTTCTTAAACCACTCTTTCACTGTCTTGGGCTGATTCCTGGGCACGAGCATCTTGCTAATAAGGCCCAGTCTTGTTTTCAGGGCTATCTGAACTAATTCTGTCTTCTGTTGGCAAATGGAAATCCACATAGAAATCTTGGGGTGGGTGTGAAAGTCTAGATGGAGAACCTTCTAGGTGCTTTCCTGAGTTTTCAGAGTCACCAGGTGGCTCATGTGGCAGGGCGTTCAGCTGATGGCAGAAACTCAGCCTGTGTCCACACTCACAAGCTGGGCTCTGCTCAGGCCAAGTTTCATCTTTGCATGGAGATGATCGGGAGCTGCAGCCCAGCTGTGGCCTCACTCGGGCTTCTAGAGGCTCTGACTATACATACAGCAGTACAGTAGAGCACTGTGGCTTCATAGTGAAGCATCTGGTAGATGGGGATTCTTCTCAAGGCATCTCTCCTCTGAGACTCTTCTGGAAAGTTCTTTAGGAAGCAACTGGGTTACCATTTTACTGAGGTACAACTGGAGCCTTGCGATGAGCTATAAAATGACCTGACCCAATGACTTCAGAGGAGGATTTGAAGACAGCCCCAAAATGGCTACATACATGAATTGTGACTATTCAAAGGACAGATAAATTTGATGTCTGCTTCCCTGGACCAGAGCAAAATCTACTTAAATGGTTGCCTCTAAAAGTATAGCTTAAATGTTAAAAACGGTGTCACTGATGATGGATGTACTGGAGTAGGATGAAATCGTGGAAGCAGGCAGGGTATTTGGTTTTGAAACATTTTCTTGAAGGTAGAGGTAACTCTTATAGATTTAAAGACAAGCAGCCTCCTCAAATACAAACTGGTCTAGATTCTCTTTGGAGTCTCCAGCAGTTGGTACATTACTTTTTAAATCAGTAGTAGGTCTTTGAAAGTCCTTAGAAAGTGGAACACTGAGCATTGAGGCCATTTAAGCACTTTACCTCTGAGCCAAAGGAAGAGGCTATTATATTAAGTAACTTTTTATTTATTATTATATTAATATTAAATATATAATAATATGTTAATATTATTAATATTTTATGTGCATTGGTGTTTTGCCAAGGATGTCAGGTCTCCTGGAACCGGAGTTACAGACAGTTGTGAGCTGCCATGTAGGTGCTGGGAATTGAACCTGGGTCCCCTGGAAGAGCAGTCAGGGCTCTTAACCACCGAGTCATATCTCCAGCTCTACATTTTTCTTTAAAAGAGATTTTGGAACTACACTCCCAAGAGCGTTTGTACCTTTTGTTGGAAAGCTACTTGTCAGTCTCCTCACTGCCCCCATGTGTGAGGAGAGAACGCCAAGCCCGCATGTCTCCTCTCTTCTCCCATGAGCCACCTGGCTTTGGCGGCAATTCTCTGCTCGCTCTGGGGTGTCTACACTGCACTCATTCCCTCCAAGGATGAAAGGAAATGTCATATGAGGGCGACACAAGATGACAGGGACTTCCAGAAGCTCGGAGCCTTTTCCTATCCTCCCTTCCCTCCTCCTCTCTGCAATATTTAATGACATGATGAGCAGGCCAGAGGGGACCAGAGCAGAGGGAGCGGGAAGTCCTTATCTGGTCTTTCCCGAACCTTCAATGCACTCCACAGAGGTCACCAGCATTACTAACGTCTTGAGTATTTTTCCAGGGAAAGACTATGTCAGAGGCTGATCCTTTCTGCGAAAGGCTGGCAAGCTTGTGCTTGGAGAGCCTTGGCAATTGCTTGCTCTGCTGCTGTAGCACAGAGGCAGCCATAGACCATCACGAATGAAAGCTCATGAGCTTGGCGGTTGCTTGATGCCCCCTGGTCTAGATAGCAATGTATGCCAACACAACAGCGGCCTCTGGGCTCTTGTGTTCCAAAGCTCCTTAAAAATTAAAAAGAAACCCAATAATTGATTTGGGGCATCATGATAGTGCACCATCAATGTCTGCTGCCGGCAGGGACAGGTCAAATGGCCTATCTGTGAAGCCAGGCGGCAGGTGAGGTGACTGTCACACACTACTGCGTCACTTTTGTTCTTTAGGGATGGTACCTGCCATAGTCAGGGTCGCTGTCTCGTTCCCCCCCACACACACACACACACACACGTGGCCGGCCCTTTCCTTAATGGTCAAGAGGCTGACCTTCTGCTTCAGCTCCTAGGGGACTCCAGATGCTGCTTTTGATATCTGCTCTTTCACTTTTTCTAGACCGCGTCAGCTGTTTCCTTCTTTTCTGGGCTTGTTTTTGTCAGCTCTCCCGGGCACTCCCCAGGGTCCAGTCATATGGCGGTGCCTTTGTGACCACTTTCATTTCCGAGTGGGTTCCTCTCTTCTCTTATCTGCTACCCTTTTCTCAGCGTACCATCTTTGGTTTTCTTTTCTCCCTCCTTTTCTCCCTCTATCCTTCACTCTTTTTTTTTTTTGTGGTTTGTTTTGTTTTTGTTTTGAGACAGGGTTTCTCTGTGTAATTTTGGAACCTTTCCTAGAACTCACTCTGTAGCCCAGGCTGGTCTTGAACTCACAGAGATCTGCCTGCCTCTGCCTCCTGGGTGCTGGGATTAAAGGTGTGCGCCACCACTACCACCTGGCTTTCCTTCACTCTTTTTGAGACAAATCCAGGCTGGCCCCAAACTTGCAGCAATGCTCCTATCTCTGCCTTTTAAATATTGGAATTACAGGCATGTGTTTCCACACCTCGCATCATCTTTGAAATCTTCTCTGCATTGAGCTCTTGCTGATTACATAGGGCATTGCCGCATAGGTCTTTTAAATCAGTGAAATGATTAATTATCAATTTCATATTCTGAGGAGGCATTTCATTTGTGTAGCATTTGTCTAGTGAGTGATTTTTTTTCCTTATTTCTTTTCTGCCACCTCTCCACACCTGCTTTCTTGTGTAGCATTATTAACACTGTTGGTTCACAAATCTTTGAGTGGGATAATTTTTTCTGAGCAGTTATCTGCTGAAGGCTGATAAGAGAAAGGATCGGTCATATTCTAGGCACTAGATCTGTTTGGTAAAGGGTTTGTGCATTCTCCTAAACCAACTGAGGTCAGCCTAACATGACAGGCAGAGTATGACACACTGCCATACTCAGGCTCCTCTTTCCCACCTGGCTCTCTGCTTGGGTTCTTACAGTCTGTCTTCTCTGTCAAGCTGAACCTAGGGAAACCTGTCTGCCCACTTCCGGTGTGGTTAGAGCAGCCCTCCACTGCAGCTTTGCTGGCTCTTCTCTGCTGTCATGGCCCCTCTGCCAAATTTCCTCTTTGATGTCCTTTGCCCTTTGGCAGCTCTACTTCACACATAATAGCTCTTAATTTTGCAAGGTCGATTCATTTCCACTTCCAGATTTCCTAGTCCACTTGATAGTGAAATTTAATGCACAAAGGGACCTTGATCCTCACTCTGCCAGATTGAAACTTGACACAGTCTCCAAACCTGACACAACCACAAGAACACTGGCATTTTTCAGGCCTCAGTCCCGTCTTGCTCCTGTCCTAGGCACTGTGGTACTCTCAGGATGTGAGCTCCAGTAGTATGGTTTCAGTTGTGGTGGGGGTTGGGGTGGGGATCTACTCACACCTCTAATCTTGAGTGCTCAGAGCCTCAAGAAACCTAGCTTTTCCCTTACCAACGCAACAGCATTGTCTTACATGTCTCTAGCCATTCGAGGTAAGTGATGTAATGATGAGGTAAGTGATGTGGAGTAAGAGATTCCAAACCACACCTTGCCAAAATGCATTTTACCTGAATTGTTCAGACTACAAATAAACCTTTAAAATACATGCACAGAAATGTTACAAATACATTTCACCTTTCACTCAACAAAGCTTGAGGAAAAATATCTGTCCCAATATACGGTCTTAGTTACCTAAGGCCCTCCCTCAGTGAAGAAGCATGTGTCAGTGGCCTAGAATCATGAAGACCATAGCATTCGATCCTGAGATGCTGTGCAGCACAGAGCAAGAACGTTAAGTGAAGAGGGTAGTCCTAGGATGCCCTGCTGGCACTGCCTGTGGGGAACCAGTGGCTGTCAGGTTTGGGCAATGGCAGAGAGTCTGAGTCGGTGATAAAGAAGCAGATAAATGTGTGTTATTAATAGTGCACTTGTTGATAGCACAGCTCCAGACACTCTGCCAGCTATGCTAATTATCAGCTGCCATTCAACAGGAGACTCCGAGAACACCGATGACATTTTACTTTGTTGGCTCTCAGGGCCCACATTCCACATCTGGAAGTCTTTCAAAGCATGCTCTCATCTGGACTAGCGTGAGAGAAATATGCATTAACTCACTTCTCTTCTTGCCTAAGAAATTAACTCTTTGCTTTCCTCTCCTGAGGCCCCTAACGTATTTTAATTTAATCAGGATTATTGCCAATATTGAATGGTGAGGAAACAGGCATCAATATTTTTCTTCTAGCTAAAACTTTTTGATGCTTTCATCACAAGATAGGTCCACTGTGCTGGCACATCTAAGCCATGCAGTCTAACAGTAGCCAAGAAGCAACTGATGTTTATGAGCCCTGAGCAAGAGCCAGGGTCCCTGCTGAGGTCTTCACACTTCCCTGGAGACTCACAGGCTCTGTGACTCAGTAGAAATCTAAGACTCAAGGCAGTCATGTGACATGCTCAGGCTGCATGGCGGAGCCACAAGCTGAGCCTGCCATTCTCCACTTAGTCTAGGATTTAATCACGATGCATTAGAAAGTTGCGAAGTCTTTGTTTCTACCATAAAGCAAGTTCTGGAGAAGCTCACATAACATTCCTGCACAGGAGACTACAGACTGCTCTCACTGTTGCCGCTTAGGTAGCCTACGATTTCTAGTCATTTCCCTTACCACCTTTCCTGTGTGATTGTCAAGTCCTATTAGTCAAATCAAATGGCCACATCATTTCAGCAGCAGAGTTATTTTTTAAAAATGTATAGAACACTTGCCTCAAAACTTACCTATATTTAATATATAAAATGATGCATTTTAATGTTTACTATGAGGGTGGACCTTTCAAAAGAAAAAAATGTCTCGTATTTCTGAAGGTCTGGAACAGCTGTTGAGTAAACCATTTACTAATGAAATAATGAGTCCCTTATGTGCTAGGAAAAGCTTTTTATAGACTTCAGAACATTTACTAAGAACCCAATTGGAGCAGATTTTTTTTTTTTAATCCCACTGGATAGGACGAGCTCTCCTTGCCTAGGTGGCTAGGCATCCCCTAAAGAGACACTTTGCTCATGACCTGAAGCAGAGTAGCAGGGAGAGAGCGGTCCGTCCACACGGGGCCCAAATGGAGGTACAAAGCAAGCCTGACCCAGGAGTCAGCCACAGAAAGCAGCGCTACATTATACCCTGAGTTGAAATTAGTGGTAATATTTACAAGTAAGTTAGGGCAAAAAGTAAAAGTATTTGAACAGATAGGGCTAACAAAATTCTAAAAAAAGGATAGAAACTCGAGGTAAGTGATGTCATGATGAGGTAAGTGATGAGGAACTGGACTTATAGACCGTTGTGAGCCATCATGTGGGTGCTACAAACTGAACTTGGGTCCTCTGGAAGAGCAGCCAGTGCTCTTAACTGCTGAGCCATCTCTCCAGCTCCAAAGCTTTGTGTCTTGAGCAGCTCAGAACTTCTCATACTCAATTTATTGACTGGATCAAATTTGTCTGTGAGCCTAACCATAACCTCACCGGGAAAAATGACCAAAGCCCTTGCCATTCCTTATGCCAAATCTTTCTCATTTACGCCTAAATTGAGAGAATGAGCTCAGAGTAGGAAAAAAGCTCACATTTACATCCAGAGGGTAAAGTCACTTAATCTCAAAGGTCACTGATCAAAACCAGCTGCCAGGTTTTCCCAGTGGGGGATGAAGTAATGCAAAGAAAAAAAGTGAGTCACCAGTCCCAACTCTCCAGCCTGACTGAGAGGTTAACTTAGTGAGAGGCTGCTGCTGCTGCTGCAACACAGGCAAATACAGCTAAAGGAAAATACAAGGGCAGACCATGGCTGCCTTCTTCAACGGATGCCACAGGAGGACAAGCATTCTCTGTATTCACTGATACTCCCCAATGCCAAGTGCATGATATAGACTCAAACATCCAAAAGCTGATGCCTTCTCCACTATGAATAAATAGTCTAGGGAAACACACTTATAATTGATATTAGGTTGAAAACTGTAATAATTTTATATAGTTGTGTTCATAGATGAGCAAGATAAAATATTTGGACAGTCAAATAAGGCCTACAGAAATACTTACTGAAAAAACAAAATACAACACACAACAATGGTCCAAATAAGAAGCAGCTTGGGTTCCGGAGACTGTGCTATATAGTTATTATGTTTTGTTTTGTTTTTTGTTTTTTGGAGACAAGGTTTCTCTGTGTAGCTTTGCCCCTTTCCTGGAACTCATAGTTATATGTTTTAAAGAGTTACAACTGGAAGATTTGATCAAACCCCTGGACAGGAATCGCCTAATTATTACTTTTCTACCAAAAAACTGGGCACATACCCACCAACAGTGGTTCTCAACCGATAGGTCTTGACCCCTACAACAAACCTCTGTCTCCAAAAAATTTACATTATGAGTCACAACAGTAGCAAAATTACAGTTATGAAGTAGCAACGGAAATGACTTTATGGTTAGGGGTCACCACAACATGAGAAACTGTATTAAAGGGGTCACAGCATTAGGAAGATTGAGAACCACTGCCCACCAAGGTGGGAATGTGTGACGCTTTTCCTAAGTAGTCAAGTAAACTGGAACTTACCAGTATGATATCCAGTGGATGCATGTGCTGACACATTTATACTTTTTATTTCAATGAAGAATGTCATACATGATGCCAATGCATACAAAACAAAAATGGGCTTGTTCTATTTCAAATGAAAGCAACACCATGAAAAACATTGTATTAGTTAGGTTCTCTAGAGGAACAGAACTGATATGCATGGGACTTACTGGAATGGCTTATAGGATATGGTTCAGCTAGTCCAACAAAAGCTGTCTACCAATGGAAAGTCCAAGAAGCCAGTAGCAGCTCAGTTCTCGAGGCTGGATGTCTCAGCTAGTCTTCAGTATATTCTACAATCCCAAAGAATTAGGCTCTAATGCCAGTGAAGGAATGGACTTGCCAATAAGAGCCAAGCAGGTTAGAGAGCAAGCTTCCTTCTTCCATGTCATTTATATAGGCTGCCAGCAGGCGTGGCCCAGATTAAAGGTCGATCTTCCCACCTCAAAAGAGCTGGATTAAAAGTGGGTCTTCCCATGCCAGGTAGTGGTGGTACACACCTTTTTTCCCCCAGCACTCGAAATGCAGAGGCAGGCACATCTCTGTGGGTTCAAGGCCAGCCTGATCTACAGAGGGAGTTCTAGGAGAGCTAGGGCCATTACACAGAGAAACCCTGTCTCAAAAGACAAAGTGGATCTTCCCACTTCAAATGATTTAATTAAGAAAGAAATCCCTCACAGGTATACCCAGCCACTTAAGTTTATTCCAGATGTAGTCAAGTTGCAACCAAGAATAGCCATCACAGTTAAATGAGAAAAGCCAACAACCAGTACAATGACCAAACTTCAATGCTTACCATTTCACAAGATCATTTTTATTGATTATCAAAAAGCAATTGATTCTTTTAAGGTACAGTCTATAAACAAAACATCTTCATTTCTACCAACATAAAAATGCTATCTTCTGGTCAAAGCAGTTCCTAGACCACAGACACACATATGCTAGACAAGGATCCTAGAGCAAACTCCAGCTCCTGACACACCTCTCTATTAACACAGCAGTCTGCACTTAGCTCTGTCACGACTTCCCTAGTTGAGGCTTCTACTGATTCTTAGGCCAGCTGTGGTCTTCCCTTCTCCAGCTCCTTTTGTACTTTGGGCTTCAGTTTCTGCCATGTTGATTCACTCTTACAACTGTTCTACTCTTGACCCAATTTCCATTCATCTATGTCTATAGTCTTCTTTATGTGAGTATAAACCAGTGTCTTCCAAGGGTCAATACAAAGTCAATACAAACTTAATGAAGTTCATTAGCTTAAGTTAAAATGATTTTCATCGTGATTTCATTGTGAATCACTAATTCAAAGAAAGTTTGCCTTCTTGAAGAATCATGTAAACCCACAAGTATATAAAAATTATATTCCCTCAGTATGCTCCACTTTGGCTTATCATTAGAAGTATTGAGGCATATCATCTTTTTGGCTCATAGTAAGCCCATGCATTATGGTGTCCTTAGCAAAAACACAGCCATCTTTCTCAGCAGATTCACAAACTGAACCCAATAATGCAGTCCTTTGGTTGAAAGGGTGTTCAGCTATGGAAGAGATGAAATACAAAAGCCGGCCAGCTGAGAGCATGAAAAGTTAGTCATTTCTGAGGGAGCATATGCAGTTACTAGTTTACTTTTTTAAAAATATCCAAAAACATGAATGAGAGATGAAGTCACAACTAGTGGACCCAACTGTACATACACTAATTACATTCTATTTCAGGTACTTATCTAACTGTAAAGACGTGACACTCCGGAGGAACACAGCAGGAAGTCTGGGCTTCTGCATTGTAGGAGGTTATGAAGAATACAATGGGAACAAACCTTTTTTTATCAAGTCCATTGTTGAAGGAACACCAGCATACAACGATGGAAGAATTAGGTAATAATTAGTTAGCAAAAATAATATTCAAGTATTTTGTTTTCTACATGTGAAAACTTGGCCCCACTTGAAAGAAAGCGTATTCCTCACTATACTTACTACAGTATGTACTATATATTCTTAAAGAGTAAGAAATTAAAACGTGAGTGTACTAGTCAGGTTTAAGAAATTCAAAATTACACTGGGCAGTGGTGGAGCACACCTTTAATCCCAGCACTTGGGAAGCAGAGGCAGGCAGATTTCTGTGAGTTCAAGGCTAGCCTGGTCTACAAAGTGAGTTCCAAGTCAGCCAGGGCTATTACACAGAGTAACCCTGTCTCAAAAAATTCATAATAAAAAATTACTACTGGCCTTGGTCCCATATTGCAATTTCCTATACTACTATATCTTCTAATGTAAGCTGTATGGAGCTTGGAGAATTTAAGTGAAGAGGGGAAAAATCTACTTAGAATTAAAATGGACAAATATGGCAAACAGTAGGACCACCCAAGTCCACCATGAGTAACTTCAATCATAAAGTGATTCTGATCACGATCCTGTTTTTTTTTTAGATGTGGTGACATTCTTCTCGCTGTCAACGGCAGGAGTACGTCTGGCATGATACACGCTTGCTTGGCAAGGATGCTCAAGGAACTGAAAGGGAGAATTACTCTCACTATTGCTTCCTGGCCTGGGACTTTTTTATAAAATCAATGATGGATCTTCAAAAGCAGAAAAAAGATCAGATAGGCTAGGTAAAACTGTATTTATCTTGTCAATTTTTATATTTAAAGAATATATTGTAAAAAATGCCAGGAAAAGTATGATATTGTGAAAAGAAGCTACACCTCAGAGAATGTTTTCAAAAATAAAAACTGGTAAGTTTTTATTTAGTGTGGAGGATTTCTCATCACTCCAAACCTTTAAGTTTATATTTTTCTATTCAATAAAAAGCCCATAAAAAAATCTAAAATGGTTTGTATGACACAATTCAAATCAAGTAAAAATATGGTGTACGTGGAGTTCAAGAAAGTACAATACGGGCATTGAAATTTAAAATGAGAAATAAATCTTTTCTAAATGATAGCTGTCTTCTTCCCTGTGGCTCTAAGTCATTCTTTCACACACCAAGTTCCTAGCACCACCACTACTCTGTACTCCCTCCTGGCCTTAGTCCAGATTTTAAGCTTGGATTTTGGGTTTTACTACGAACTGACTGACTGAACACTACTGTCATTGAGTTTCCTTCCATCTGTAATATGGTAATGATATAAAAAACACCTCACATTCTACTTCACCGATGAGTTTCGGAAAACATGTTAACAGCAGCCAAACCACCTTGACCCCGGCTCAAACAGGTGGCCATGGAAGGGTCCAGCGCCATGCCAGTCACAACTGTGTCTACAGGTGTGCCTGCTGGAAAGTACACAAGTTACATCATGGACCACCCAAAGGCCTCTACCATCTATGCACTGAGATGTGAAACTGGCCCACTCAGTTTCCTTGGACCCACTTTAGAACACTGAAAATCGGCTCTCCCTAACTCGCAGGAGTAGTAAGACAAGAGCGCGTCACTTCACGGGGGTCTGTGCAGCACTCTGTGACAGCACCTGGCTGACTAGGAAGCTAGCCAACGTGAGTCCTGACCTTCGTCATCCTGTGTACACAGCCAACCTTAGCTCTACATCCCCTGCTGACTCACTCACATTACTTCCTTGGATATAAAGTCATTTCTGTCTTTTATTCTTTAAATATTACAAGACAAAGATTTTTAACTTAACACACAAAAAAAAAAATGCACATTTTTATTTTGGAAAAGAAGTTAACGTTTCATTCTAACAGAACAAGATTAAAGGTATATTTCTTAAACATTATCCAGAAAAATAAGGAGATTTACAGCATCTATTTCTGGGACTGACACAGAGAAAAGGTGGCGTCTACTCGGCAGGGGCAGCTTCGGCGCTCTCCTGTTCGGGGACGGGCTCACTGCCAGCCTCTTTTCCTTCTTTGCTTCTTTTAGACTTTTTGTGCTTGTGTCTCCTGTGACTGTCCCCTTCTTCACTTTCATGACGACGTCTACTGTTACTGCAGGAAAAGGGATTGTGTTTAACAATGCTTAAGTAACAAATTGTGAAAAATCAATCTGGTCTAAATAAGCCTGGATTTAGGTTGAACCCATTCATTTTCTGATAACCATATTTTGGAGGGTCATTTTGCATGAGATTTTACACAGATTATATTGTGGGGTTATCTTCACCCATACCATCCCAGACTACTAGAAAGTCTCTAAGTCTAAGGCACTGAAGCATGATGACATGGAGCAGGAAATACTATTTTATAGCATTAAAGTTGATTCTAATTTTTTTTTAATTTTAGAACTGCAAGCCTCCAGTTTTTTCTTTTAACCAAACAGCACTTTAATATAAAGATTTGCTCATATGACCCAATTCCCCTCTATCAAAGAGATAATATAAAACAAAGGAAAACCACCCAGATATCTTATTTTAATTTTGTCTTGGAGATAATAAAGAAAAGCAACCTTGTTAGCTTTAAAAATTGTTGACACCCATAAGGAAGGAACTAGACAGACTGTTCTTGTCTTTCTGTTAGGAGCAGTCTTGTCTATCGGCTGGGTACTGTATCTTCGCTTCTAAAGGGCTGACTATGTCGTGCACACCCGCACCCCCCCCCCCCCCCCCCCCCCCCCCCCACCCCCCCCCCCCACCCCCCGACTAAGGGGTCACTAGTAGAGAGCAGACCTGCGAGAGGACTTGTGTCTGGTCTCCTCTTTCTCTCTGTGACGTCGCTCTCTGTGTCGTTCTTCTTTCTCCCGACTAGCTCTGTGGCGCTCATAGCCTCTCTCGGCATACTCCCGGTATCTGTAGCGCTCCTCATCACTGCAGCGGAAGTGGAAACACCAATAGCAGGACTGTTAACTTAGCTGGCTGTGAAAGGAAGAGCTTCTGTAGTCTAACAGGCCTGCATGTTAGCGTCTTATGTTGGAAAACAAATATTCCCTAGACTGAGTCACAAACCAGGAGCACATCTAACTTAAGAAAACAGACCACTAGAAAAATGGCCTTCTGTTCAATTGCTCTGTGCTAACAGGCCTTCTGTTCCATTGCTGTGTGCTATCAGTTTTTATGACAGGTTTCATATTAGAATATCACATTTTATTTCTGGGGAAAATATGAGACCTATAGCTAATATAAAATTTAATCAGCAGGCTTATTTCTTTTTGCTCCTATTTAATAATTAAATGTATTTATATATCTCATATCTACAAAAAACTCTGATTTGCAAAGCACTGGTCATGTGGTAAAATTTCTAAGAACGAAGCATGGCTCACAATGGCTTCCACATAGAAGGCAGATAGATACAATTTTTTAAGTGTTTGATTTTTACCAGCAGAAATAGTGCAACTTTCACCATGTGCAAAAGAATACACATGAAGAAAAAAGACACCAATGCTTGCATACCTACACAGAACACACAAACTGAACATCCCAGCTACTTCATCCACATCGCTCTCTGTCCTCCTCCCCTAACTGTGTGTTGAAGACAACACACGGCTAAAAACTTCAAATGCATAAATACAAGTTAAAACTCTCTTTTCTGAATTTGGATTCTGATTTACAGAGACTCACAAAACAGAATTGACTGCCAGAGTTAAGAGGCGTTTTCTGACTTTTTCTTCTTTTATAGCTCTTAACTGACATTCTTCTCTCCATTTTACTAATCCTTTGAAGTCTTTCACTCTTCTTTTCTTCTCACTACGAATTCCCTCTTCTTGCCTCCCCTTCCTGAATGCCGGGATTACACACCTGCACTACCATGCCTGGCCTTTTCATCCTTGTTTTTCACATGGGAGTCAAGATTTTTGAAAACCTAGTATCAGAAAATTCTGTCATTTAGAATAAACAAACATCTTTTAAAATATTGCCAAAGAGCTTTAGTTTTTAAAAGTATGTTCAATACAAGTAATTAGCAATTTGTATGTAACAACATCTTGTTCAAGAATCTGGATGGGAATAATAGAATCAGGGGAAAGCATAAGCTGTATACAAGAACCAACCAGCCTGTGGCTACCCAGCGAGAGAAGTGGTTCAATAATGCTATTTAATGCCAGAATACCCTGCTGCCCAAATAAAAACCTAGGATATAGTAAGACTGTAAAACATTTTATAAAAACATGTTTTAATGTACACATATGCACATGTACACGTATGGGTACACCCATGTTTTCCCCAAGAAGCACGTATTGGTAGGCAGTGTACCATGACAGGCAGAGCAGAGCGGCAGCGTATCCATGAATGCCCAGCACACTCTGCCTTGGCCACTTTTAATGCTAGAACTGCACTCCTTGAAATCTCAGTTTTCTCATTTATAATTTATATATTTCTCATTGTCCATTTATGACAATCTTTTTCAAGGTTTCTGTAACACTGACAATTATATTTATCAAGCTCTTAGTGTGCAAGTAGGCAATCAATAAATGGAATTTGGGGGCCTGACAGGATGGCCCAGTGGGTAAAGGCACTTGCTGCCAAGCCTGACAACCTAAAGTTTGATCCCCAGGTTCTATATTGTAGAATGATTGAAATGATTCCCCCAAGTTGTCCTTTGACCTCTAAAGAGGGATTATGGGACAAGCACATACGTGTGCACACACACAGCATAATACATAAATGGAACTCTTCAATGAATTTAGTACGTATCAGAAGCAGACCCTTTCCTACAAAGGTTATTGGGCCTCTAACAATCTCTCTCCAAGGCAAAGAAAAATAGCACAGTGACAAATGAACACTGCAGTCAATTCTATCAACAAATGAGGTTTCTCTAACGACTCCGACCAGGCTACATAAGAGTAAGGCAGGCACTTATTTCACACTTGTATCATGTGTGGCCGGCCCCCTTTCCCCCTTTGTCCTAAATCAAAGTCTTGCTAGCTCTGAGGCCTTCAGATTCTGTCAGCAGACATATGATGGGAGCCCATGAAGAAGAGACCACTAGCGAGCTTCCCTGATGAACACAGCAACACCCTCCACCCCTTTCTGCTAGGTGCTGCAGTGCAAAGGCTCTCCAGGCCTGGAGCTCATCAGAGCACATGTCAGACATCTACAGCACCCAAGCCGCCTTTCTGGCCCACAATTAAACTGCCTTAAAAACAGATGTTAAAACTGGTCTCTCATTTTCAAAACAATGACCCTGTAATTTGTAATGCAACACGTACTCTATACATTTTGCTTCAGAACATGTTTGTCAGTCTTTAGAAGCAAAGAGCTTTTACTTCCCATGTATATTCCCCAGTGCAGGTTTTTCCTAGGACAATCCGGAACACAGAGTTCCTTGACTGTTTGCTTTTCTGGCCTTAAGCTTTACTCATATTTAAGTAGAAATAGAACTCAGCAACCTGAAAATGAAAACATGGTTTTTAACCAATGGTGTCCAGTTTAGCAACTCAGTAACCCCTGAGCATGTGTGTGTGATGCAAGAATCGTCTTCCTACACATTTCTGCACTAAGCTCCTTCACTATGGCGTGCATATTTTACAGATGTGCTCCTCAAAGGTACCATTTCAACTACAGCAGAAGCCAGCCAGCTTCCTGAAAACTACTGCCCTTGAACTTGAGCAGAATCATGGACTAGTGTGTGTTCCACTCACATGTACATGCCTTGCCACTGTTCACCTAGTTCATCAATAAATTGTGTTAAATGCGTACTATGTGTAAGTCACAAGTAAACTGAGTGGAAGAAAAGGTATTTTAATTAGCTTTTCCTGTTCTTTGTCATACACTCTTACACTAAGAAAACCAGTCCTAGTCAGCTTAACAGCACTATTAAGTTTAATCTGTAAAGACAATGTATGAATATTTATGTATCTTCAGGATACAGCACTGTTACTGGCTTAGAACAGGGCTCAAAATGTGAACCACATGAATCAAAATGAATTTTTAAGTCAATTTCACTGAAAGGAAAAAGGAGAAAGGGAACAGAGTTTTAAAAAAACAAATTTTAAGAGAGTAGAGAATTTTATATGACACCACAGCCACATCTCCAGCAGTTGACAGGGCTCTACTGGTACC